AGTACGCTTATCAAGCATTACTGATACGTGTATTTTCAAACCCTTCCCACTCTCCGAGTACGCTTATCAAGCATTACTTATACGCGATTGGGGTTCTATTTTTAAATCCTTCTCACTCTCCGAGTACGCTTATCAAGCATTACTGATACGTGTATTTCTAAATCCTTCCCACTCTCCGAGTACGCTTATCAAGCATTACTGATACGTGTATTTTCAAATCCTTCCCACTCTCCGAGTACTCTTATTAGGCATTACTGATACGTGATTGGGGTTCTATTTTTAAGTCCTTCCCACTTGATTGGGGTTCTATTTTTAAATCCTTCCCACTCTCCGAGTACGCTTATCAAGCATTACTGATACGTGATTGGGGTTCTATTTTTAGATCGGGGACGAGTGAGTCGGCTGATAAGAGGGTCACTCGCCACACCCGCGTCACTGACCAGTCCATGTCGCAGGGTATTGAGAGCAAGACGGGTGCTGGTTCGATGGGGCCACTCTCTGTGGGGAAGGGTTGCTCAGGTATGCGCAGTGGATCTATGCGTGAGTACGTGCGTGGGTGTGGGTGTGTGCGTGCGTGTGCGCGTGCGTGTGTGTGTGCGTGTGTGTGTGCTGGCTTGGTCTATATGAGATATGGGAGAGGAGCGGGTTCTATCTTGTTTGTTTGTAGTGTTTTAAAGGTATGTCTGTCCAACTGTTTGCTTGTGACGGTAGCCACACTTTCTCACATGGCTGTCTACGCAAATGTACATTGTTGAAACAGCCCACCTTTCTGGTCATTTTAAGCGAATTCATGGTTTTGCTTTGTCGTCGGCGTTTTATACTGCACAGTGAGTCCACGCAGAACAGTGCTGGGCCTCGCTTTGACACCAGTCCTGTATGACACTGTTTTGCAACACACGTGTGTGGTCTGTCTTTCTCTCACATATATGCTACAAGTGCTGTATATATATATATATATATGCTACAAATATATATCACACATCCATACCATCGTCTGTCTCTTATGTACTACAAATGCATACATCGCCGCGCTGCGCCGTAGAGGATGATCTGACTCGATTGGAAATCGAAGCTCTTGGGGATTTACACAGCAGCAGCAAAGAAGGCGAAGACTTTGACTGGCACAACACAGGCATGCAGGATGCTCGCCTAGAGATCCGGTTCGATCGTGAAGGCAACCAATTAAAAGGTACGCACAGTTGCTTATGGACAAAAAGAGACAATCTTGTGATGTCAAAGGACGTTGAGTGGGTAACATGTATTCGGGTTATGTGACAGAGGGGCGGTAAGCCTAACTCTAATGGTTGGGTTTGAGTACAGGTCGGTGTTGAGGGGTTGTGTGATCTGTTGAGAGGAGTGTGTTTATTACCTGTACGAAACAACCCGTCCAATTCCGATAAGCTGCCGCTGAGATGCGACGACAATGCATGGCTGGAGTGTTTAGAGCGGCTAGTACCCTCTGTTATCTGTATGGACGCAGCACGGGACCTCCGCACGCACAGGCCATGTCAACTTACGCTTCAACATGTATATGTCTATTTTTGTATAAATATATATACATACATATATATATATATGTATATGTATATGTATATATATATATATATATATATATATATATATATATATATATATATATATATATATATAATAATAATAATTAAATAATATATATATATATATATATAT